ATTTGATCAGTTTTAGTTAGTAACATTTCTAAATCAATTTCTTATGGTTCAAATCAATGTAAAATGCTACGGTCTCGTTACAGAATAATTTCGTCATCTAACGGTTACAAATCTCGATGGAATGGTTTCGTAACGGGACCGTAGCATTTTCCCAAATCATTAAGATCTCATTAAAACTGGTCGTTGGTAGCGGGCTGTAGATTTCATTAAGTGCATATCATTTTGAATTTCTCGATTTGCGCTATTTAATTAATGTTACATCTATATATATAATTGGTGGCTTAAGCATTAAATAAAACTTATTTAATTATACATACGTGACACTTCTCACCAAAAACTGTTATTGACCAGCATTAATTATTTTTTACACTAATCAAATCAGAATAATTTTAATTGACGAAAATCAGTGTTTTAAAACACGCATCGCGTCGCGTTTTGATCCTTATATTGCGTAGCGTAAATAGCGTAGCGCATCGCATAAGTTATTCAAGCAGTTCACTTTTACTACAAAAAATAATAATATATATAACCAAACTCGCCTAAAGTCCTCCACTAAAATATCTAAAGTTCGGAAAATTAATCTAGACCGATTTGGTTCACTTTATCTTAAATAAAATAATTTATGTAGCTTAAATAAATAAATTAAACCCACATCTCCCTAAATTATTTAAAAAAAAATGGTCACTATCCTACCCACACACACCACACAACGACACATATACACACACATTTTCCTTATCCCCTTTTTTTTATTCTTTCTCTTCTTTCCTCTTTCCTTATCCTTTCCTCTTTCTTCTTCCTTTTTATCTCTTCACGCAGACAACTACATTTTTTTCCTTCTTTCTCTTAAATTTTCTCCCTTAAATTTTCTTCTATTCAAACTCACAAACACAAATTTCTCAATACTCACCAATTAAATCAATTAGCCCCAAAATTAAATAATGAAAAACACAATTGAACTGCCAATTTCAATTGGTCAGAGGCCGACGACCGGCGGACTGGCGACTTGGGTGTGTCGCACTGGACAAGGGTTTTTTCTTTTTTGCGACTGTAAGAACTGGGGACGCTGCTTCGCTTTTAGCCTTTTACGTTTGTTTTTTATTTTTTTTTTTATTTTCTACTTATAAAATCAACGTCCACAATAGCGTCTGCCATTTACGCTATTGCGTAAAATAGCGCAAATAGCGTAAATTTTTGCGAAAAAAGCGTGCCACGTCATAAATAGCACACGCTATTTTGGAACTGCGCTAAATTAAGTGCGCTACTGCGCGTTTTTGCTAAAAATTGCGCTATAGCGCGCGATATAGCGCGCTAAACTACGCTATTGAAAACACTGACGAAAATCAAGATAATCCAATTTTTAAAGAATGTTGACCAAACATCTTAAAAATTTTAATTATTAGAATAATTTTAATTGACTTTAGTGGTATAACCAAACATCTTAGACTTTCATAAATAGTAATAATAATAATAATACTTTTTAAGATAACTAAAGTCTAAGATGAAGTTGCATTATCCTTAAAAAGTAAGGNAGTTGCATACTTTTAAAACGTTTATTTTTACTAATGAATTTTTTTTTAAAAAATGTGATAATAATGGAAATTTTTTTAAAAATGTGATACTATTATCTGACTTATATTTTTAATATTATATAGTGATAAAATTATAGTGACAAATTACTAGATGAATATGATAATATTTATTAATTCAAGGGAGTGTACTTGACTAGAGATGAAAACTTTCTTTATCTATGCATATTGCTTATCGGCAAGGTTCTTTTGCCTTCTGCGTTTTGTCTTCCGTAGAACTTGTTTTTACCTGCCCTAACTCCTTAAAGTTCATTATAACAATCTCATTTGAAGCTTCCCTTTGATCTTTTTTTCTGAAAAAACGAAACGTGTAGAACTGTATTCAAATATAGTGATAGCTAATAAGGCATGGCACGCCATTAGTATTCGTAACATTATCGAGCTGGCAAGAGCCGAAACAAAGAAAATGATCCCCCGTTATACACCGTAAATCCTGTGGAACAAAGTTGACGAAGAGGGGAGATTCGATTAAGCAAAGCTGAGCAATGGCAGATTACACATCTTATCAACGTCCAAGAATGCTAAATCATACAGGCAAAAATTTCAGAAATCTCGATCTGAAAATATATAGATCGACTGCATGTAGTAAAATAAACAATTGTTTGTTCTGACATATTATGCTACTAAACACAAAATTTCGAAACATTTGATACTCAAGACCTTCTTTCAACGAAATTAGTTTCTGAGTTGAAATATTAATATTTTAGTTCATGGTTAAATAATTATGCTACAAAGACACGGCAGAACGAGAGGGATTCCTGGTACTGGTTGAGAGAGTGATTAATAGTAAGATGGGCCTAAATTTACATGCAGACTCATATCGAGCCCAACAATGGTGAGCCTGAGTTGGCTGAGATATCTGTTTAGCTGTCCGAGTCGACTAACAATGAAACGGAAAGAAATTAAATACAATGAGGTGATTTCGATTAGGAAATTCATCGCAAACTAGAGAACGAAAAACTTGCTACTTTTATATCAAAATCAAGAATGATTTAAAATATTCCCCATAAAACAATGGAGACCAAAAGCCAAAGGGTTTCCGTCAGAAACCCCATCAATTTCATTTCTCAAATCAATCGATTTTTGTATATTAACCCGAAAACAAAATAAGAAACGTGAAAAGAAGAGTTGATTGCAATCAACCTCGTCCGGAAAAAAGAAGGGCTTTTCTTTCATCAGCTTGCTATTGCCTTGACTGCCTTCTCAGCCGCATCGTCCAAATCTTCAGCAGTAATCAAAGTCATGCCGCTTTCCTGCAAATAGTCGTGAAAATTCGAAAAAAAAAATGTCAACCAACTCATGTAGCACTTTGTTTAGCAACAGATAAAATTCCAATGTTTGATATTATGTGATTTCATATTCACCTTCAGGATTCTCTTGCCCTGGTCAACATTAGTGCCCTCAAGACGGACAACAACAGGAACTTTCAGTTGAACCTAAGATGCCGGTACAACATTTCTTTTCAGCATTTTGGCAGTCCCATATACATAAAAACAACAGCCATAAAATTTGCAAATGTATCAAATTTGTGTGTTTTGACCTGTTTAGCAGCATTTACAATTCCACTGGCTATTACGTCACACTTCATGATCCCACCAAAAATATTGACAAGAATAGCCTTCACCTTCTCGTCAGAAGTCAGAATTTTGAAGGCTTCCACAACCTGATCAGTACATCCAACTAAGCAGTAAGTATTCATAACTTAAACCCAAGTTATATAAATAAATATAAAATAATAAATAAAGGAGTAGAGGAAAACATCCATCAACTACTGCATGCATGTCTAAAATAGCAGAGCCGAATACTACTAATTCTCGAAAATCAACTATATGCTTTCAGATCATACGAAAGAAAATGAACTCACATCATCCGAAAGGTAACAACGAAATCAGAATTACCTGGCCTTCAGAGGCATTTCCCCCAACGTCAAGAAAATTGGCTGGAGTTCCTCCATGTAACTTAATTATGTCCATTGTGGCCATGGCCAACCCAGCACCATTCACCATGCAACCAATTTCTCCATCTAAACCAATGTAATTCAAATCTGCTTTTGCTGCAGCAACCTGGAAACCCCAAAATAAAATAATAATAATAATAATAATAATAATAATAATAATAATAATAATAATAATAAATTGATAAATGGTGACAAGCAGCAACAACAACAACAACAACAACAACATACCCAGTATATTCCCAACAGGTTGGGGTCTGGGAAATGGTGACAAGCATATTGAAAAAAAAATAAAAGATTTATAGTTTCTTCAAAGTCTCATACATAAAGGTCAAGTTTTTATTACCTCACGAGGATCTTCTTGTGTTGGATCCCGAAGAGCGAAAATCTCTTTCTGACGAAAAGCAGCATTATCATCAAAGTTGAGTTTTGCGTCAGCAGCAACTAACTGCTTATCGGAGGTCTCAGCAATTGGATTGATCTGTCACAAAATAACGCTTACAAATATTAAGTTTGCCTGTCACAAAATAATGCTCTGAAGTTGGAAATATAAGAAGATTATCAGCGGCAAATATATTTATAAGTGAAAAAAGAGAGCACTTCTGACAGAAATAGATTGAGCTTTCTCACCTCCAACAGTGTGCAATCACATTTGCAGAAAAGTTCATACAACTTCTTCACTTGTTCAATCGATGCATTTCTATCAGCCACTTTGGGAGATAGACCATCAACCACCTTGGCGGCATCCTCATCAGTAATTCCGGTGAAAACATCAATTGGCACCTGGGTCAGGAAAGGTTATTAAACATAAATTAATTAAAGATCATTTCTACATCATAAAATAATGAAAGTAAGACCAACCTTTACAATCAGCTCCGGGTGTTTCTCTGCAAGATCTTCAATACTGGTTCCTCCCTTTTTGCAGGCAATAATAATCTGCAAGATGTATATGAGAACACACAACTCTGCAAACACAGAGATTACTTCGCTAAAAGTGGCACTATTTCTACTTAAACTCATCATAAATTAGTCGTTGCATAATATCAAGAAGAATTCTCTAGGGTGTGTTTGGATACAAATAAATTCAATCCATACGCAATTCATACTCAAAATCTAACTCAATGTTAACTCAATCCCACTATCCTCAATATTATCAATATAATTGAATAATATCAATAAATCATTCTTACACATTACATCAACTTTAATTCACTATTCATCTATTCATTCACTCACTCAGATAATTTTAACTAACCATTACTTTACATCAACTTTCTCCTACTTTTACATCAACTCAACTTTAATTATTTTGAGCGGATATACTGTATCCAAGCACGCCCCTAATGTTCATGAAATATCTTGATGTGTAGAGTTTAGAATATCCATGGAGAACATGAGACCAGTATGCAAATTACTAATCAAGGCAAGTCCCATGGTTTCAGTTTTCTGTTACACACAGGTGTATGAGCACATCTCACAATAATTCATAAACAATTGTTACCTACATGACGAGTAAAGTGAAGCAATGCAAGGAATGCAAAGGGGATGAAAACATTGATCGCCAAAATATCAAACACAAATAAAGCTATCATCTTTAGGAACTTACAGGACCAGCAGATATGCGATCAAGAGTAATGGCAAAATACATCTCATTGACTAGGGATAGCTTCTCAGCCAAATACACCTAAAAAAAGAAAATAAATAGAATTACAGGGTCACCTATTGAACACATAACAACGAACTGAAAATTCCAGCAGAAACATACGGCAGCAGAGGTATAACTAGGGAAAGTACAGTAAAGAGTAAAGACAACATCGTATGGAAAATTATTTTCATTCCCACAGTTATTAAAGAACAAGCAAAAACTGTCTAATTTTGAATGGAAATATTCAGGCAATAGTAGGTCTGTACATGACAGAAGATGTCAAATATAATATTCTAACATGTAGTCAAGGATTATTATACTCATATATAATGAGAATAAAACAAAGAGCTGATAAAAAATTGTGCAATTGCATACAAGTACTAGAATAAAATTAGAGGTGAAAGTACATTAAATCAAGTTCAGCAGTCATATGGTTTCGAGGCAAACGTTATGTTCTTTTGTGTTCTTGATGAATATGTATATAATTAAAAATTAAGAACGACCAACATCAAGAGCCTTTCTCATAATTAAGTGAATTTAGTTATTAAGCAATAGTACTTCATAACCATCAGAAGCTGCCTGATCATACAACTGATGATAATTACACAGAGCCTCAGTGAACCTTGAACTGAAATTCGATAAAAATGCACATTAAATATCAGGTAGCAGAGGGAGTATTTATGGGTTTCAGTCGCGACTGCAGGCTTATGTATATTTCAAAATTTTGATTATAAAAGTAGAAACAATGCCAAACCTTGCTGACAACTTTTCCTTGAGGCCCAGTTTGCTTAGTAACAAGTATCTGCCCAAGCATCTTCCCTAAAATAGTGAAATAGCATAACTTCATACTATGATAGCGGTTAAGGAATGAGTAGCTGCTAATAACATTCGATCATGCTAATTACATCATCATCATCATCATCATCATCATCATCATAGCCTTTAGTCCCAAGCAAGTCGGGGTAGGCTAGAGATGAAACCCAAGAGAAACACAAAAAGACTCGAACCAAAAGGAAGAGATCGAAGAAAAAAAAAAAAAAAGTGATGGACAATGGCCCTGAATGGTAGCACTATGCAGTTAAGTTATCCACCAACCAAAACTATATCAAACATTGATGGTGCACCATATTCAATGTGAACTTGATTGATGCAAATTAATACAATTCATAAACACGAGGAGAAGAGAAAAGCTCGATCACACCAACTAGATGCAAACACATACAAATTCTATATGAACTGCAGAAGGCTATCCATCTTACCAGCTATATCCTCAACCTGCTCAGCCTTTACAATATGAACTCCCCCCTGGAGACCACTCTTGAAAGTTCCCAGTCCTCGACCACCAGCAAGGATTTGAGACTTCACAACCACCTACAAGAAAAAAATCAACTCAGTATATTAGTGCTTTAGATACTGTATGCTTAAATAGTTAGACCCAACAGTTTTCTGAAATAGATTTCAACAGAACTATTCAAATCATCAGCTAACAAAATAAGAAAAACATATTATATTATCCTTGAACTACCTCACGCTCATTAGGAAACACTTCTTGCAACGCCTTTCTAACTTCATCAACAGAACCAACTGCCACACCTTTCGGAACGTTTATTCCATGTTTGCTCATCAACTCTGCTCCCTGAAACCAATATTTAACAACTCAGCTTCATTGTTAAATACAAACATTCAAACATCAGTCACCATGTCCTAAACCTGGCATCCCTAAAACTAAAACAACGCAATTTCAACTAATTCCTACACTTCTGTACATGCTGACACTGCAACGCGAATACCAAACCGAACAATGCGAAACAGATCACGCTCGAAACTTCAGAATCGGCGCCACAGAGTGCGCTTGAAAGAGCAATTGTGTGGCGGGCATACCTGATACTCGTGTATGTTGAGACGGCGGAGCTGTTGCTGTTGCCATTTCCCGGCGACGGAGAGCGAGCGACGGGCGATTTTTCCCAACAATCCTCTCACCATTTTTCTTTCCTGTATATGTTGGCTTTCTTTGAGAATTTGAGATCCTTCAACGCAAGATCGAACTGATAACAAAAAACGAGTATGATTATGGACACTGCAAACCCTAATACAGAAAAAGGAGAAAGGCGGAGGCGGAGAGGCTGACCTTCTCGCCGGCGTGAAAAGCTTGGACCCAAAGCTATGTGTGAACTTTGTCTGCTTTTATATTTTGCCTTTATTTAGAACATTTATTCATTATAAATATTTTATTTACTTAGTTATTTCTCCAAGTTAATGGGTTTAACTCATTTTGGATAATTTTTTTATTTGATAAACGTTATGATATAAAAATAAAAAATAATAATTAATTATTATGTGGTAAAAAAATAGTAAAAAAATAACTTATAGTTATCTATCTATATATATCTAAAAAGGTTGATGTAAAAATTCTTTTTTAGAAACCTAAAAATAATTGAGTTGACTTTTGACTTTCTATTTATGTATTTTACTTTAATTAAGCAAATGGATATTCTCCTTAATAATGGTGATATTTTCGTTAATTAAGCATGTGAAATTGATTGTCCGTTGCAAAAATCATGGACTTACTATCTATCCAAATACAATCCATAATTCTCTTATCACTTTTGGTTAATAAAAAATATGTGAAATTGATTGTCCGTTGCAAAAATCATGGGACTTACTATCTATCCAAATACAATCCATAATCATCTTATCACTTTTGGTTAATAAAAAATTGTATAAAAGGATATTCACTACCACCATTACAACTCATCATTCACGAGTTCAGAGAAAAAAATACAGAGAATACTTTTTGATCGCATATACAATATAATGCTTCCACGCTGGGTACACTTGATTCCGTTAACAAAAGAAACAAACCTTTTTTTTTTTTGCGTCTGAGAGCAGTCCGCATTATTGAAACCCATCACGGGAGAGTTGTAACGCATTTTCATGATGAACAGGTAATTCGTGTGAACAAGTAATATTTACCTTAACTTTATATAAACTGAGAGCAGTCTAATTTTTGTAAAATATGTAAACTTTAAACGTGTTTTTATATATAAAATTGTATATACTTTTAAACATGTTAGTTGGACAAATTTTAAGAATATATATGTGTGTGTATGCTAACACTTTAAACGTGTTTTTATATATAAAATTGTATATACTTTTAAACATGTTAGTTGGACAAATTTTAAGAATATATATATGTGTGTATGCTAACTTTAAGTATATATATTTTTCTTATAAAATAGTCTAGACAAAATTGAGGTAATTTCACAGTTTTCAATAATAATATAAAATATTTTAATACTTTCACATCTGTTATATAATAGTCTACGTATTCTTAATGTCTTTTGGTTGTAACATTGTTAACACATATAATATTAGATACTTTTAAACATATTTAGATAATTTTTTTACTCATTCTTAATATCTATGTGCATAAAAAGAGAATAAGATTTATAAAAGATTTTCCGGCAATATACTAAATGTTAGATAAAAAATTTCATTTTATTTGTTATATAATATTTCGAGTTGCATTAATTTTGATTTGTATGTGTAAAATTGATAAATTAAGCATATGAAAAGGAGCGTACGAATTACTGTAAGGATTTAAAAAATAAAAAATAAATCTAATTTTTGAATATTTTCTACTAACTTCTAAATGAATTTATGTCATAATTCGTCATAATTTTCCCACATCATGTCAATATTTATTTTATATATACTAGGTAAAAGGTAAATCATTATCTCAATATTTATTCTATATATTCTAAGTAAATCTTCTCATCTATTTCAACGGTCCGCAGGTAGTATTTCATACTTTTCTATTCATAATCAAATATATCAAAGCTTCACAAATTTTACTTCACAAAGAAAGTGTTCAATAATTTATATTTTTTTTCCTTCTTTGCAATCCATTTATTTTTGTTACATATATATAAATTATATTATTTTGACAATGACTTGCAATCCAGCTTGACCAGAGATCAAAGAAATATTACTTGTTAATGAAGAGGCTCAAAATTGACCAGATTTAAAGCAAGGGTCTTTAATGCAAAACTGCAAGTGCTGAAAACTGAATTATTTTAAAAGAATATTTTTGGTGAGGTAGCTGCATACACATATGTTATTGAATTCTAAAAGAGAGGTTTACCTCATGCACACTTTTTTTTTTTTTTTATTATCTAGGTTTAAATTGTTTAGGCCAGAAGAGTATGACAAAATAGTGTGCGCTGAAATTCCAAATAAAAATGAGAATCCACATTTGCATAAAATGGTCAGAAAACACATGATACATGGCCCATGTGGTGATGTAAATCCTTCAAGTACTTGCATGGTCAAAAGGAAAAAGCCAAAGAGGCTAAGTGTAAGCATTCATATCCTAAACAATTTTGTGACCACACATACCAAGTAAATGATGGCTATCCAATTTATCGTCGCCGAAACAATAATCAAAGGGTGAAAGTTGGGCAACATCATGTAGATAATAGATGGGTAGTTCCTTACAATCCATACTTGCTTGCTAAATTTAACTGTCATATTAATGTTGAGGTATGTTCAACTATTCGTGCTATAATACATATATATATATATATATATATATATATATATATAGGATGTGGTTCAAACGAGAACCAAGTCCTAGCGTGAGAACCGTGAGAACCGCTATTTTTAATTGTATGTAGTGCTATGATTGATTGTATTTAGTGCTATTTTTAATCAGGATGTATTTTATTAAAAATAGCAACTTAGCATTTGTAAAAATGATAGCACCATGTAAGATTAAAAATAGTATCATACACAATTAAAAATAGCATCAAATATGATTCTCACGGTTCTCACACCAGAAAAGGTTTTATTTGAACCACTATATATATATAAATATATTTGCAAAGGTCATGATAGAATAGCATTTCATGTTAATTCAGACAAACCTGAGAGTGCGATAGACGAGATACAACAATTTACATCTACACGTTGGGTTTCTCCACCAGAAGCAGGTTGGAGAATATATCGATTTTCTATGGGTGAAATAAAACCAGCAGTAATTAATTTACAGCTACATTTGGAAAATTACCAAAGAGTGAGCTATAAGGGTCGTGACAAATTAAAAAACAATGTCAGGAATCCTAATAATGATAAAACGATGCTTACAGAATTTTTCCGTATGAATAGAACTGACAAAGAGGCACAAGAACTGAATCTTACATATATAGAGATTCCTCAATATTATGTCTGGATAAAAAATGAAAAACGTTGGAAAAGGCGTACACGTGGAGAAACCATAGGTCGAATAGTATTGACACATCCAGCGGAGGGTGAGAGGTATTACTTGCGATTGCTTTTACTTAAAGTTCGTTGTCCGAAATCTTTTCAAGATTTAAAAATATATGATGGTAAGCAAACAACTAGTTTTCGGGAGACAACTTTAATGAGGGGTTTACTTAAAGATGACAATAGTCAAGATTTAGAGGCTTCTCAATTTAGAATGCCATATGAATTGCGTAGACTCTTTGCTAACATATTAGTATTTACATGCCCAAATAATCCTAAGGACTTATGGTTAAAATATGAAGCAGCTTTATCAGAAGATTTTTATAGACAACAAACAATGAGTCCAACTGAGATAAGGAAAAAAGTTTTGCACCAAATTGTTGAATTTTATATGTCGATGGGCAAAGACATTCGTTCATTTGGCATTTTAGGCGATGACTTTTCAGGCTTTGATGTTTCTTATAATACAAGAGAATTAGAATCTGAAAGAAATATTACCGTTACTGTTGAGGATTTAAATACCATAAATTTATTAAAACGAAAAACAGAAACATGCTTTTGATATCATACAGAGTCGCATATATGAAAATAAAGGAGGGACATTTTTTATTGATGGTCCAGGAGAGAAAGGAAAATCATTTTTGTATAGAGCTCTATTAGCTGATGTTAGGTCAAATGGATACATTGCATTAGCAACAGCAACTTCAGGAATAACTGCATCAATTTTGCCCGGGGGTAGGACAACTCATTCTAGATTTAAACTGCCTCTTCAAATATGCGAAAACCAAAATGGATGCAAGGTAAGTAAACAAAGCAGCCTAGGAATTCTGTTGAGAGAATGTAAATTGATAATTTGGGACGAAGCACCCATGGCAAAGAGATCAGCAATTGAATCTTTGCATAAGCTTTTGCAAGATATGTTAGACTCAAAAGAAATATTTGGAGGCAAAGTTATAGTGTTTGGTGGTGATTTCCGTCAAATTCTACTAGTCATTCGTAAGGGTAGCAGACTTGATACAATAGATTCATGTTTAATTAAATCACCACTTTGGCCCTATCTAGAAAAACTTCAGCTAACAGAAAATATGAGGGCACGTTATGATCCAGAATTCACAGACTTTTTGCTTAGAATCGGGGATGGAGTTGAGCCAACAGATGAGAATGATAGTGTTCAAATTCCTAATAATTTACTTTTTTGTAATAATGAATTTGAGTCAGACTTAATTGACCTGATAGAGTCCATTTTCTCAAACTTTAGTATGTCCGCAGACACATTGTGCACAACAAATAAAGCAATTTTGTCTAGTAAAAATTCTTTTGTTGATGAAATAAATAACATACTTATAGATAGATTTCCAGGAGATTTGGTTGAGTATTTTAGTTTCGATGAAGTATTGAACCACCAACATAAAGGTCAATATGAAGATATAATTAATTCTTTAACACCAAGTGGCTTACCATCACATAGGCTAATTTTGAAAAAAAATGAGCCAATAATTCTTTTGCGTAACTTAGACCCTACTGAAGGTTTATGCAATGGGAAAAGACTTATATGCAAAAATTTAACAAAAAATGTCATTCATGCTCAAATCATGGTTGGTGATTTTGCTGGAAAGGAAGTGTTCATTCATAGAATTCCACTTGAACTATCAAAGGATGAACAATATCATGTCCCATATAAAAGAACTCAATTTCCTGTGCAATTATCATTTGCAATGACTATTAATAAAGCACAAGGGCAGACATTAGATGCTGTTGGAATTTACCTCAAAGAACCAGTAATTTCGCATGGACAATTGTATGTTGCGTTATCGCGTGCACGTACAGCTGCAAATGTTAACATGTTAATAAGCTCTGCTTTTTTTACAAAGGACAGCGTAAAGCGCAGAAAAGATATTGTTTATAAACAAGTTTTGGAAATGGCAAAGGCAGATCAAAGTAATTTCAGTTCACTCTAAAAGTCCATCTTTTATGTTCTTATATAGTTATCATATCTATAATTAAGATTTGATATAATTAATGTTTATTTTATGCAGATCAAGATGCAGAGGAAATTTGTCCAAATTAAAGAAGTTGATGACAAAATATCAGCATGGACCTCAATTGTTCAGGTTGTGGAGAAGAGTCACATCCAAAATTAGCAAGCCACAATAAAATCTACCATACAGAAGATATTTGCTCACAGACTCAGAAGTAAGTAAATTATACAATATACATTTTATGTCTCTGTGTTTAGGTGAATAGATAAATAATTTTGTTGTATTTAAAGTTTTCATACAACTAAAGTTTAAAATTATATAGTCTGAATGTTTCATTCTTAACAAACGAGCAGGGAACGAAAGTATCTGCAGTTGTCTATTCCGCTGATTTGGAGGTGGTTTCAAAAAGGATGGTGTCGTACAAGCGGTATAATGTCTCCAATGCTATTGTCAGTCCAGTTGATCCAAGATATCAAGTTAGTGACTATGCATACAAGTGGACCCTTAAAAAAAGCACCTTAATGGAAGCTTACGAAGAACCAATGCCGCCACAATTTCCATGCCACATAGAAATCCAACAATTTCAGAATTTATACCAATTTGCTGACACAGAAAATTTGCAAAGTTAGTATATCAATACAATGCTCATAGAATGCCTTCATTACACTTTTAAAAAGATTACCAAAAATGAAAAAATAATAACCATTTTACTATGACATTTTTTCTTTTAGATATCATGGGTGTCGTCGTGCATGCCTTACATGTCAAAGGAACTGGAAAGTCAAGAACAAGGGATATAGTCATTGTCAATGAAGAGTTAGTGTGCTGCTATGTTTCCCACTGTGTACTTTTGTTGAAATAAATAAATAAATAAAATAAAATAATTTAATTTATGTGTTACAGGAAAAGACCAATGTTGTTCACTCTATGGAACGAATTTGAAGCAAATGAGGGTGTTCAACTATCATGATCAATCTCAACAGGAAATATCTTGCTCGCAATGAGGATCAAAGTCACAACTTTCAACTGTAAGTTTTCCCCATATTCATACCTATCTTTGTTTCATTATCGATTTATTTTAAAATAATGAACCTTTAACATCATTCATTCACACACAGGTTTATCTCTAACGACAAGGTTGCCAACCTGCATTCTAATCAACCCACCTATGCAAGAAGCAGTAATCTTAAAACAATGATAAGCATACAAGTTTATTTTTCAACTATTGAAAATAAATCTAATATGATGCACATTATAATTACAGGTACATAGAACACAAAGCTGAAGTTGCACATCTAATTGAAAACAAAGCATTCATGAATGCCTCTGTCCTTTTGCCACCACCAAATGGCAATCATGTTGTCACAGTTCAAGAAGCTTTGCGTTCACTTAACAAAACAGTTAGTGTCAACAACATTATATTCAAAGTAAATATTATTGTATATTTATATGTCGAGAAACTGAAATAGATTATTGCCTTATTATAGGTGAAAGCTACATAGGTGCAAGGTCAGGTCACCATGGTCACAAACCAGAAATCCTTATGGTTCAGTGCATGTGGACATTGTCACACTAAGCTTGAAGTTCCAATTGGTTGGGAAGTGAAATGCACAATATGTCAAGAACAAACCAATGTAGAGTCGAGGTAAAACTATGCTATAGCTTCTAATAAGTTGTAATTTTAAAGTCTTTCATTCCTGTTCATATGACTAATGGATTTAAATATAATTTCTGTAGATGTCGGTTTGTTGTGGCTATTAATGACGGAACATGAGTATTAAATGCACTCATTTATGCTGAAGATGTTGAAAAGTTGATTCCATTTAATGCATTACAAATGTATGAGGCTGAGAAAGAGGTGCACAACATATTTGAGTGAACATACGCTACCAACACATCTGATCATTTGTATTGCTGAATTTCTAACAACCTGTTTATCACCACTTTACTAGGGCAACAATTTGCTGTCAGAAATCATATCAGGCTTCTGGAAGAAAACTATCACATGCTTCGTTAGGCATTATGAGTTAGATTATGGATATCCTATGGACAACTACACCATAGTGAACTATACTTAGAAGATGAGATTCATGGAGAAGCAAGGCAGCATGCAAGAATGGTACACATTATAATTCATGCAATTTTTGTAAAGTCCAATTCATTTTCATTTCACCATAACTGCTAAATGCACATCTACTGACTAAGAAAACCAAGTTTCGACAGATGAGCACCTGATAACACCAACTGGTAGCTAAATTCCATTTGCAGGTGATGATTCGTCTTACTCCATAATGGAAAAGGAAGCAGAAAAACAATCAGCAGGAAGCTCCACCAAGCGAAAACTAATCTTCAGCGGCCCAAGTGATTCCAAAGGTGAAACCAACCAGGAAAAATCGTCAAAGCAGCATATCGGCACTTCAAATGTGGAACAAAAAGATTTCAATCTGAAAAAACCACCTTTTTCGGATCTTTAACTTGCACATTATATTTTTAGTCATTTGCTTTTGTAAGGGAGATGACAATGCGTAGTGGCATTATCTTAAAAATATTATTGCTCATTAAGCTTATAGTGCTTAATGAGCATTAATATTTTGCATTTTCATTTAGCCACACATTAGAAAATACATTTTGCACAAATGGCTGCAATCTATCTATGTGTATGGTTTTTGTGTATGGTATGTGTATGTACCTTCAAGACTTCAAAAAAACATATTTTGGTGTAATATTTTGGTGCTTGCATAAATATAAGAATGATTGCTGCTGTGTGAGTTATTAAAATTTTTGCATATGGATGCTAATCAAATAATGTAATCACGATGCACAGCCGGAGACTGCTAGTCTTTGGATTGGTTGTTTCAATACAACCTATTCAAATGAAGATTGTAAAAGGAGTTCCTACCCAAATAATTGTATTCTCTATTATGGATTTGGAGTAAGAATCTTTAGCCTTATATATTTATCTTTTATATTCTATTGTTTTATATAGTTTTATTTTTAAAAAAAATTGTTTAACGCATTTAATAAATTATAAAAAATTATAAAATACCACTGTTTTAAAAGTGATGGGTCATGTGTTTTGTATTATTTATGATGCGCCCAGCACTACATGTATGTTGTAATTTAAATGTTTTGAATTTTTTTTTTTTTCTAAAACGACAATTATATTAATAAATTAAAAATTTAAAAGAGCACACCCGAAGTATCAAGTGACACACTGAAACGAGAAGACTGGACCAACCCCCCTTGTCAACACACACAAAGGGGTACAAAGTCCATCAAGAAGGCCAACAACCACAAAACAAAATTTCAAAAAAGAGACACAAACTACATAAAAGAGAGAAAAGCAGACACAACTGCACTAAACGAAACAAAACAACAAAGTAAAAACCAAAAGCAACTCATACCTAATAAACAAATAAAGAAGATAAGACATCCCCTACACCTAGCAGATAACCCCACGACCATCTAAACCGCTTACCGAGTCACACCCACAACAAAGAACCTCATCCAAGCAACAAGAACTAAACTCTAAACCCAAAAACTGCATCACTCAGCCCGCCTAAACAGATTTTCAGCCCAGATCTGAACTCGGAAGAACTTCTACGCTTGGGATAGGAAGGGAGACCACCAAGAACACGCCAAAGGACACGAGACAAAGAACCTGAGAAGAGCACCCTAGGCGGCCCGCAATCGAACCAGCCCGGCCCAACAAGCCGGCAGCCAGCCATGCGGATCGGCGACCAGGCAGGACAACACCACCAAGGCAAATCGCTGCCGAGCAGGGGCATCCTCCACGGAACTGAACGGAAGCGCGCGAGAACGGAATTCCAGCGGTATGGTAGCTCCCGCGGCTGGAGCTGGAGATGGCGACCAACAACCCCTCCGGTGTCGGGGAAGACAAGGCGGTGAAACCCACCTTCGGCCCGTCAACCACAGAAACCGAGAGAGGCGGAAAAGCAGCCCTCAACCGCGACGCGGCCAAGGCCGCTTGGTGGCCGCAGGGGGTGACTCGCCGGAAAAAGGGTGGCGGCGGCGGATGTGAAATTAGGGTTTCTAAAGCTTTTTTTATCCAGAGAGAAAAGGGGATAAAATTACGGGAGGAGAGCAAAATAATTATCACTGAGTTATGTTAAATATTTTGATGAATGTAGGGAATTGTTTAAATGAATAAAATGATGATGTAGTTAAAAAAGAGAGTAATTTGTGATAAAATGAATTGAAATTGATGCCGATGCCCTAAGAAGTTTACAATTTACGCTTAAATTTACGTTTCCAACATTCTATACATTAATTCTTAAATCAAAACTCAAAAGCCACAATAAAAAGCGAAATCCATTATCCATGTGCTAGTTTTTCGTGTTGCCAGGCTTAACACTTCCAATTCATATCACACGCTCAATATTCAATCTTCACATGGCATCTCTACACCTGCATTTTCAGACACTATATCTATCATGCCAAATCAAAACATACACACACACACACAACTCTAAAGTTCAAGAAGAAGAAAAAAATGAAAAAAGAAAAAGGTTACCTCTGCAAATATCGTGAAGAGACGAACACATCATTTACGTGAAGAGAGGTACGCATCATTTACGCACGAAGGTTTTTTCGCATTGTAATAGAAATGCGCAATCATCTGAACCAGCTCGTCTGCCGATCTAAAGTCTGGAAATATTACAGCAAAACTTAAACGATCATGTTCCGAATTTAGAGCTGCAGAATATAAAAAAAACATCGAGAGAGAAAAATGAAGCTGCTGCTTACCTTTCTCTCTGTATAGTATCTTGTTCCCACGAAAGAACAAAATCTGCGGGCACTCTTTAACCTTAAGAGCATACGCCAAATCCCTTTCAATGTTTATATCTATCTTGATTGTCTACCCACATAAAAAACCAAGTTATACATAAAGTACAATAACGGTATAAGTCGAGATTTAAACACAATGAACTTCACAAACCCGAGGGGGCAACCGATCTTTTGCTTTCCAGTAAACCTCAGCTGCCTTTTCCAGCTCCTTTAAAACCTTCCAGTTATCACTTGCCCTGATCAAAGTCATCAAAAATGCTATTTATCGAATTTTATACTTAAGTTGCTAACCATTAAACGCCGAATGGAGTACATTTTTATTCTTTCTAAATTTACAGAATGATAGAATCGAATTGTTCAAAATAAATGCCTAGTAATTTTGGAGAGAGACGTGTTTTTTTTTTTTTGTTCTTTTTTTTCATAATGGAATAAATTTCACGATTTTGCAATTTCACCTGTTGTATCTTTCGAAAACGAGGACGATTAGCGGGCTCGGATGAAAAGCAAATCTCTCCCACTCGAGACAATTAATCTCTTTCACCAACCCATCTTCAATCTCTCCCTCCCAGTTGATCTCGGCCCCGTCTTCACCCACAACATTCTTTATCGAGTGCTTATCGAAATATTCGGAGGCCCTAATTCCCCACCCTACTTCAGCATCCAACGGCCAATCGCGATCCTCCTCATCAACCACCATCTCTTTTTCTCCCGAATCGCCAAGAACTTCTTCATCTTCATCTTCATCACTGTCACTCTCGTTTTTTACGGACCTCGAATTACCATCTAACTTTTCCTTTATTGCATTTTCCACATTTTTTAGAATTTCGGGATTTTGCTTCCCGATGGACTCGAGAGTCCGTTCGAGGGAACCGCGCACGAAATCCTCGACAGCGGCAGCCTCACCCCTCCGACCCCTCCTCGGCTTTTTGGGTATTGCGAACGGGCTTTTCGAGTTCTGGGCCTCTTTTTCTGGGTTTTTGGGGGTGCGGGCCCTGGTTTTCCGAGCAGGCTTAGGTTTGGGTTTAGAATTTGGGTTCGAGTCAGGATTCTGATCGGGCTTTCCAGATTCAGCAAGGCATGAGATACGTTTAATGGTGCAAGTAGGCTTTTTTGGAACACTTGCGACGAAAATTGGAACTAACGAAACAGAACTTGAAGACAGAGTGAATGCTGAGGTTCTTGTAGGAACGAACGATGGAAATGAATATCGACTCGCATTCATATACACTCCGAACGACAACATCTCTCGATTTATTAGTTTAAAATCCAATTATCTTCGGCAACTATTGTTTCGATTCAATTTGACAAATCCTCTGTATGAAGAAAAACAAACAAAACACATCAACAGATAGGATAATAAGGACAATGTGACTGAACTCAAGAAGAACAGAGCCCGAGAAAGGCCGGAGAAAACAGAAACACTGCCTAGAAAAAACCCATGAATTAAAACACATTTATATGAAAATTTCAAGCCCTCCTTAGACAGAACAAGTGTATCTTTCTAATAACTGCCACATTCACAATAAATGCTCGAGATAGAAAAAAATCAAAATCGATCAAGTAGTATTACACTTTCAATGAGTCATTAAAAATTTAGAATCACTTTGACAAGCGTAAGGTGACAAGAAAACCGTAAAGTTCTCGACTAGGCAAATTATCAAACACATGGCGCGCAACTAGCGGGCAGTACAGATAACGATCGACTTTCAGACCCGAAACTTAAGGAACTAACGTAATTCGCCATTTTCGTTGCGTGTGTGCATGTGTTACAGAGACATAACAGATAATGATATGAGATTATAGAAAGAGAAAAAGAGATTACGAGAAATTGGCGAGAAAATGGAAAAGCTTCTGAACCTTTGCTGGACTCCCGCTTTAGCAACTGTATCTGTACCAGTGTACTACAACTACAAACTAGTTGCTAGAGTCAACACCTTTTTTCAAAACAAACCTTTTTTATTTTTATTTTTTCTCGTCCATATTATTCTTTATTTTCATTTTATTTGATCATTATAATTTTTTTTCAGAGAAGCAGAAAATAGAAGGAATTCAAGGAAATACAAGAATTTAAATGGAGGAGTACGCCTGACGTTGACGCTCCCAACTTGAACTTTTTTCCGCGATAAATGCAATTTCTATTACACAAATGTCAAATGTGCCCAAAGATTGTATAAATAGTGTGATGTGATATAGTTATAGATATGGATTTGTCTATAATCCCGTCACGAAATGATTCTGTGAGGAATTTTAGCCATCAGACATACAGATATACAGATTTTATCTGATGGCTAAAATCCCTCACGAAATTATTGCATGACAGGGACTGTAGACAAATACTATAGATATCTACATTATCTTAAACAAGGCAGTAGTACTATATATTGAATGATGTAACTTATATGTTGATGTTGAAAACATAGAAACAACTATCAATAAAGTAATTATACTGCAGTTTTGTCACCATGTCAAAGTGTGGAACGACCTAATTTGACCGAACAATTAATTGATACACAAATGTTATTGAAGACACTATTAAATAAATGTTTTCACGTTGATGTCTGAAACTAGGTAGTCCTACTGTATAAATTGATGATGAAAACAAAAAATGCAAATATCAATAAAATCGTGATTTTGTAACTTTGTCATTGATGTTGGATTGGTTATTTTTGTTTTATATCAAATTGTGGAACGGCCTAATTTTATCGAACAATCAATTGATATGCAAAGCTTAATGAACTATGGAATGTTTTCATGTTGATGTATGAATGATTTATCTTTTGGATTGGCTTGTGAGCAATGGTTTTATATCGTTGAGAAAATCAAATGATGCAAATGTCACCGGACAGTTTATGAGATGTCTGTGTTTCTAATTTAAAATGATTATATCCCATCTCTCTCCATTAAGAAGCAAATCGAACTAATAATTGAAAAATTAGTTGATATGCAAATCAAATGAACTCTGAAATTCATCAAACAATTGTCAACAGCAATCCAAGGTCGCATACACAGACTAAAGCTCCCACTCACATTAACAATTGTTACCGTATTGTATCTGATGATTGATTATTGTTGCTTGTAATGAGTTTGTGATCAACTTGATATTATCAAACAAGTATATAAGTAATATGCGAATATTACCAAAAACACTAAGAAATTACACTGTTACTGATGTCCCAAAACATATTTTCCGTCTCAGTTAGTATAAGAGACATGCCTAAAACTGTATGCAGTACGATCTCATTGTCGATGTTCTTTATCAGTAACTCTATATATCCATTATCGATTGTATAATTAATCAAGCTTGAGGCGATTCACTATGTCAATCTAAGTAGATACATTTTTATTTCCCTAGATAAGACCAATGAATCATGAACTGAACACTCCTACTTAAATCAAATCGAGATATATATAAGAGATGTTTAACTACTTAATTACACGTGACGTCGAACTTCGAAGTAAACTTCACTTTAACTAATGCACTAGTTGTTGCATTTATCAATCCCCACTAACTTCTTTATATCCTTATTTGTAAGCTAAACATTTAATTTCCTAAATAGAAATATTTTTGAATAGTTCAAATACTCAGAACTGGTGAGCGACAAAACAATATACGTGAAAAGAAATATAGATTAATGACAACTCTACCCTCACATATCCTCACAAAAACAATAATATAATGTGCTCAAGGACCTTAATCTCACCCAAAGTAGTACGGCAAAACTGTGAAACCATATTATCACATTAATATAAAATTCAAAAAAACGAAAAAGTCTTTATTACCCAAACCCACAAATAGTTTTTGCCCGTACAATGATAATAAGAGTACATAATAAAACCAGTAAACCACCATTACATCAAAATCTCTACACACATCACACTCCTCTCACATAAGCGATTTTAGCGACCTAGCCTTGATGGGCTTTCTCCCTCTTTTCCTCCCATTTTTCTCTTCTTCTTCATCCTCTTCCAAATCTTCATAATCGAGCTCGTCAGATTCCGACTCGTCTTCAGATGAATAATAATTCTTCTCGATTTCGTGCCTGTGCTCGACATTTCCATTAGAAGAAGCAGAAGCAGAAGTATTGTTGCAATCGGAGCCTCTTTTCTTGGCCCACCGAGGCCCAAAGCCCGAATAGTAGTAGAATTCATGGGGGTTGGAGGAGGGGGCCTTCTTGGGCCGGGCCGGGCGGCGGGGTTCTGGGCCGGGCTTCTTGCTGTAGCTTTTCATCTGGGACACGTGGTGGTCGCACATAGTGTTGCTGCCGGAGGCCTCCCTCTTGCACTTCCAGTTCTTCCCGTCGGTTTTGCTGCAGATGGTGATTTTGCCCGGCTCGTTTTGCTCGGCCGCCGGCGGAGGTGGCGGCGGCGGAGGAGAAGGAGGTAGTGGAAGAAGAGGCTCCTCCGATTTCACGGCGGCGGTTTTCGCCGGGAGGTCGTCGGAAAATAACGACTGCTGGTCTGTGAAGTTGCTGACAGAAATATATATATATATTTGTGGCGTTTTAGTGGGCAATAATATCAATAATAACGAAAATGATAATGATAACAGAAATAATATTAGTATGGTGATTAAAAAATCGCGTCGCGATTTGAAAAGGGAAAAATTTATGTAGAGAAGTATATCGGGGGAACAAACCCTAAAGCAAAATTATCACGAAATGGTAACCAAGTGAAAAAAATAAAACGATAACACCATCGGTATTCAACCGGAGGCGATGGGATTACCTTTTCCCGGCGGAAAAACGGCCTCCGCAGCTCCCATTAGCGGCGGGGGCAGCGTCCGCGACGACCTGCACAGAAATTATCAGATTTCGAGAAAAAAAAAACGAGCCATTGAAGCTAAAATCGGAGGGAAAAGAAGGAGCCCACGTAATAATTCGCAAGGTCGAGGCTAAATAAGCCGCCAATCACGCGGATTGGCGCACTTTTCTGCAGAACCCTAGCGGCGGGCCTGCAGAAAACCCTAAAATAAAGCTGAAAAAAAAGAGAGCCGAAAATAACAAGCGGCGCAAAAGAAATGCAGGAGGGTTCTCGAGGGGAATGGTGGGGGGCGGCGGCAGATCCGGCCGCCGCCGTGTGGGAGGGAGATTTTTTTATACGGTACCTGGGGCGGCGGAGGAGGGGTGGTGGTGGGCGGCGGACGGGAGAAGTCCATGACGTCCCACGGCGACTGATTGAGCTGGCAGACGTGGGTCTGGAGGACGGCGGCCCCCGGGTGGATGGACGCGGCGGCGTACACGAGCGGGGAGATCTTGGCGTGCTTGCGGATTCTCATGGCTGCGAGGGGGAGTGGGGGTCGCGTTTTAATTTTTTAGTTTTTGAGGGGGCGAAAATGGGAAGAAAGGTTTGGGGGGCCGTTGGGCACGATGAAGTAGAGTAGATCCAAATATTGCTTTTGTTCTTTGTTTTTCCCTTTTTTTTATAATTTTTATAATAATAATAATTATTATTATTATTATTATTTTTTCCTGGTTTCTTCTCTCTGGATCTCTATATATGTGTGTGTGAGATTGTGTGTTGGACGCATTGGATTTAATTATTAAATTGGATTGGTAGTGATTATAGAATAGGATGTTAACTTAAATACTTTTTCCGATGAAAAATTATTATTATTTTTTTGATTAGTTGGCCGCAGGGTGCAATACCACAGGCAAACACAGACCGGGCCCCACGGCCAATTCATTTCTTTCATCTCCCGTCCAGTTTGATTTTTTTTTTTTAAAAAAAAATTATAGTTATTATATTGTTAGGCCTTTTTTTTAATTATCTATTCCATCTTTCCATGTTTTTTTTTTTTTAAACTTTTTCATAATTAGTTTTATGCTTCTAAAGCTGATTAAATAAATTTGTGACCAAATAAGTTAATTAAGAAGATTTAATTGGTCAAAACTCTAAACAAAATCTAATACATTAATTTAACATAAATTCGCTAATAAAAAAACGAGTCTCAAAATTTTTGCCTGGTGTTATTATAACTTTGCCCCTAAAGTGACTATTGGATAAAAAAAATCATTCGAATGAGATGAAACAATTTTTTATAAGAAATAGTATTCACTTCAATCTAGTTTTTTCAATATGCTATTTCACTAAAGCAATTAAAAAATAAATATTATCATCAGTATATATTTAATTATAAATATAACTTTTTGCACGTACATTCATGGACCGCTTCCATTCGTTTGTTGGAAAAAATAACACCATTTTTTATTATGGATATTCACTTGTATATTTCTAAATAATAAATAATAATTACCAATTTTATCAAGTAATATTCTATTATTTCATATTTTATCAACGTTACTCACTATAATTTATTTATAGTCATTTAAAATTTTAAATTTATTTTACTTTATTTTATTATAAAAGTGATTTTAAACTTTTCAATCTTTACTTTTGGATGAGACATATTTTACTAAACAATAATATCTAATCGCCATCTAAAGCGCACATAAAAATGTATATCCAAGTGTTATGTCTTAAATTGCTTTAAATTATGTAAGATTTGATTACTATAAAGCTAATGTCCAATCGTGTTCATACGATTATATACATTTTGGATTGCATCATTTGAGATTTACTTAAATATTGACGTATATGACAACAGTCAAAATTTACTATGGTGTATGGTGCAAATTTTTAAACAAAAGTATGAACAATCTCATTTGGTATGAAATTAGATTTATGACATTAATTTTTGTCATTCTAATAAAGTGACCGACCATCGTATTGGAAAACGTGACATCACTCAAATTTCAACTTATACATTATCTTGTTATATATGAATGTGTTGAGATTAAGTGGCAAACTCAAATGATTCAGATTCTATATATGAGGCAAGATTTCATGCTTCATTATTGATAACCGTGTGATCTACGAAATATTTTTTATTTAAATATTATAAAATTATTTAAGATAATATGAAATTATATTCTCCACCAGGGGCGGAGCCTTATAGGGCCCAATATGGGACACTGAAAAAAAATACTATATTATATATCATACTCAAAAAATAGTTTAATGCTCAATTAATAAAATGAAAATAAACAAAAAACAATAGGAACACAAATAAGGGAAAGAAAAAGAGATAATGAGAGAAAAAAATCATTATTCTTGTTTATTTTGGTCAAAAGTAAATCTAGTCATTTTTTTTATTAGATTTGATCTAAAAATTAAAAATTTAAATTTGTAGTTAATTTAATGTTGTTTCTTAAGATATTAACATATTTACATTTGTGTGTGACTGATAAATTGTAGGGCTCTTAAAAGTTTGATATATTAGATAAAAAAAATTATACATTATAATTTATTTTTTTTATATCAAATTATGCAGAAAATATTTTTATAAATAGTCTTGACAAAAAGCATGTGAAAATATTTCAAAATTAGCTACTTTTATTCTAAATATACTTGAGGTGAATTATAATATTGTTAGGCCGAAAGAATATGTAAAAAATCTTATTGTAGAGTCATACCAAGCTATAAAAACTCATAAGAATTTCTATGAATGTGTATTTTGTATTTATACTTTATTGTGATGTATTATATTTGTTCTTTAAAAATAAGTAGGCCCCCACTCATATTCTGAGCTGGATCCGCCCCTGTTCTCCACAATATTCTATTTAGTAATCATATGACACTAGTACAATACCCGTGTACTACACGGGTGTTGAATTAGAAAAATATTAATATTTTTTATTTTTTTGAAAAACTAAAATAATTAAATTTTATATAAAACATTACTTTGGGTTTTAATTAAATTGTAAAATTATATTTTTTTAATCAATTTTATTTATAAGGATATCTTATTTACACGGCATATAAGATAATAATCATATTTATTTTGGAGTTTGAGGGATGAGATTAAGCAAAAATCCTATTTATTAAGTATTTTATAATATTATAATATTAAGAAAAAAATCCTATTTACACGGCATATAAGATAAGAATCCTATTTATTTTGGAGTTGAAGGGGATCGAATTAAGCAAAAATCCTATTTATTAAGTATTTTTTTTCCGAACCTATTTATTTTGGAATATAATTGTATTAATTTTTATCCGAACCAAAAAGTCCAAGCATGTAATGTTGTCAGGTAAGCTTCCAAAGTGTGCGAGCCAGCCATTTAGGCTCAGTACGCTTTGAAATTATATTAAAGGGATAATTGTATTAATTTTTATCCGAACCAAAAGTCGAAGCATGTAATGTTGCCAAGTAAGCTTCCGAAGCGTGCGAGCCAGCCATAAAGGCTCAACACGTTTTGAAATTATATTAAGGGGAATTTATTTATTTTACTATTAGTTCATTTCTATTTTCATATATTCTTTTGTAGTTTTTTACTATTTAATATATAAGGTTTATTATTTATAAGTTTATAACATATTATAAATGTATAAGATCATATGATATTTACATACAAATTACTTGTATGTACTTATAAAATTGTTGTTGATCATGGTCTAATAATTTTTTTTAACAATTCATAATTTGCACATCGCTTGATAATTGACCAACGTTTAACCATAATATTTATCTTTCGCTATAATTATTAAGTGTATTAAATGTTAAAAACCTTGATAAATAAATTTTATTTTAGTAACTTTAATCCTTATGCAACACACAAATCTTTTATGTTTTTATTTTTTATGTATACTTAATTATTTGATTCATTTTTTCAACCTATATAAGGAGCTACATAGTATCTATTCGAATATTTAGATATATTATATATTTCCATACACCAAGTGCTATAATTTAAATTAATATACATTTTTTTTATTAACTTCTTTTTCATTTATAAAAAAGAAAAAAAAATATATTTTCAAAAAATGAATCGTTTTTTTTTTTCTTATGTACATAATACTTCTAAGGTGAAATTTATAATTCTGAATTGCACCCGACCATCAAATTGTATTTTTATTAGCATATTATTTAAATTTTCAATAGTATTATCACTGCATATGATATATTCAATGGGGATGTACTTTTTTATAGTTAAATTGACTACATTTTATAAATTTTTATTAATATTATAAATTATTTATTAAGTTATTATGATTTAAACATACTTATTCTGATTATTGTATTAATTATTTTAAGTACTTATGAATAGTGAATATAATTAATTAAATTAATACCTACAACCATAGATGACAATATATTTAATCAAATAAATTTCCATAATAATTTTTTGAAAAAAATATCTAATAAATTTAAGCTCAAAATTTCAATTGAAGCCAATTTGTTGTTAATGAGTAATAGTCACTGAGTGTATAAAAATTAATTATGTTTTTCATGCATAAGATTTTCTAATAAATAAATATTAATTAAATGTCAAATATAGACAAAAAAATTTTCCGCCCAAAATCATGTCAATTATGACAATAAGGATTGGTCCATTATATAGATATAGATTATAGATTTGGATAGATTTTAATTTACTCACAATCCAAAAATGATTATGTACATTTTATCGATAAAGATATCGATTATTAATGGTCATTTTAGATGTACTAATTTTATTTTAATATCATTTCTTATTATAACCATTGAATTGTAAATGTATTTTAAAAGTTACTAATTTTTATACTTCTTCAGGTTTACATATATAATATATCAAATTAATAATCTCCTGTTAACTTCGATTTGACATCCATATTGTATGTATAGAATAAGAAAATTATATTATTTATAATAATAAAATCATTTCTTAATATTAACTATAAAAATAAAATTATTTATCACTAACATATTGATGTTTAAATTAGTTATATGGAATAAGTTAGAAAAATTTTTATATTTTAAATATATATTATTTGCAAAATGTATTTCAGTTTTAAAACACTTTTTTTCATTAATTTAAAAATTTAAAAATAATTTTTTTAACAAGCACCCGTGCAATACACGGGTGTTGTACTACTCAACTTTAAAATCTTAGATTCATTAATCCCGGTGACAATTTAACCAGCGATACTACACACTCGATATTATGTATATGTAAAAATACAAATATAATTTTATAAGTTATATGTGTATGTATATAATATTTAAAAACAATAAATTAGATAAAGGGCATGTCATATTTTTTAAATTTTGTTCATTTGTAAAAATAAATTGTATGAATATAAACTATTTAAGTTACATATGTATAGCTAGCTATATTGATTGTAATAATTTAACTTTTGCAATCTTGAACGATTACGACCAAGTAATTAGATAAAAATACGAAATTAGTATTATAACAGTTGTGTATAGGGTTTTAAGGGTTTGGATATACCATA